GAAATGAATGTAAAGCTGTCCAGAGCTGCCTTGGAAAGTGACTGCAGTACAGGATTGGCCTTTTAGTAGCTGTAGTTCCTAAAAATATCACCCAACAAGTGTGAAAAGGAATTTCTCAAGAACCTACTGTCTAATTCTGAAACAGCTTTCTTATTTGTTCTCTAAATTGTGCAGTGAAGTAAGCAAGTGATCTCTGTGCATTATGTAGGCTCTCCTTCTTTGACCATTTTTAGAATGATATGTTTAAGGTCTACAATTTAATTACTATACATTGATAACATGTGGATGATATGTATATATGTTGTAATGAGGAGGTATATTTTGTTTGCTGTTTGCAACCATATTTACCAAAATAAAGAATTTTTCCCCATTCTTCAATTAGTCCTATGTACAGCCTTTTAAGATTAAAGTGATAGAATTTAAATTTAAAATGACCCATTTTCTGATTACGGGGTTTTTTATAGGCATATAAATATTTGAACATGATTAGTAATTTTTCAATAACATTGTGCCACTCAGAAGATAATTTGATAAAATTCCAGACTTCCAGGACAAATTTTTAAAAGTTCCCAACTCTTTTTTTAAAAAAACCCAAAATGTAATTTTATAGTTGCATTTTCTTTGTCTTGAGGTATGTATCCAAAAATATTTGGAAAATAGAGTTAAAATACAGATTTGGGAATGTTATTTCACTAGACATACAGAATTTTCAAAACTAAATTTAAATAGCAATTATTGAGGGGAGAGAAAGGGGAAAAAGGGCAATAATTGAAAACGTACTTTTACTCCCAGAGTGAAAGCTGGTATTTTAAGTGTCCTGCATCTGGTTTCATTTTGATTACTGATTTGTTTGTTTATGTTTGTTTATTAATCTAAATATTAAAATGCAGACATTGCAACTCAAATTTGTGTCTTACTATTAAAAATTTCACATATAATGTTACAGCCTTATATATTCTCCAAGTTAGTCAGTGTAACATCATCTGAAAGTGTCAGGGGAAGCTAAGAAGTTAAATAACCATTCATTGAACATAATTTCACAAAACTTAAAAGTTGTATAAACAGAAATCCAATCCAAAATTCCTGGCAATATTGTATTTCTGATTGTGCCAGCGCACAAGCTAAACACACTCATAACAAACAGTTGAAAATTCAGTTAAGAGGGACATACTAGATCAAGGTCATTAAAAAGTGTGAGTAGACGAGTGTTTTCTTGATGTTGTTTTTAGAACAAGTTCAGTAAGGTATGGTGTCCTTATCAAACTGCCACCACCAACTTTCTTGATAGGGTCTGACGTGTGAGGTACATAAGCCTGTCTTGGTGTGTTAATATGGTCCAAATGGCAGAGGTTAGATTAAATGCAGAATATCACTTAAATGTGCTGTGTAATCTCAGAGATAAAAGGAAAAAAACTCTGGAGGTGTGAAATGAGTTTCTGTAACAGGCTGCCAATGTTCTCCTCTAGGTTTGAGTGAATTATATTGGATCATGGTTTTGAAGTGTTAAGAGGGCTATATTCTTAAATGTTGCCATTCACAAAAAAGTGAGTCAAAGTTCCTTGTTACAGAATCTGAAGCAGAATTAACATAAGATTTTTTTTATTTTTTTTTTTTGCTGGGTGTCCATTTCTTGGTAGAAAGCTGGGAACAGAATTCTATCCATAGTCATGTACCTGAGTCACCATCACTTATTATTTTCTTAGTAGAAAAAAGGTTTTAGAAAAAGCATTCTTGAAAGTGATGTTATCAAATCCTTTCATTCCACTGGGGAAAAAATAGACTTACTGAGTTCAAAGTTCAGATCCATCAATGTCCCAATACACACACACTTGTTAGAACATTCACCTGAGTTATGGGCAGTGTTCCCTGTAAGCTGCGCAGCATGTGTGGCTGCGCAGGCATGCTCATGCCACGCTGCCAGGCGCACCTGCGTGGCCACACACACCACGCAGGTTAGAGGGAACGTTGGCTGGGTGGTGAGAGTCTAGTTCTCTCCTCTGCCTAAAATTTTAAGCTGCATCTCTTACCTCCTAAGTTAATGTTCTAACCATAAAGCTATATAATATTTTGGGGTGACTCTACACACTGGTGGTTAGTAAGAACACTTGGAAAAGAGGAGATATAGATTCCAGTCCCTGTTGTAATGCCTACTTAATAAATATAAAAATCATAAATATTCATTGGAGCTGAGACCAGAACTCAGATCTCACTTTTTCCAGATAAGTCACCTTAACCCACGGATATACTGTCTTCTTGTTTACCATTCCTGTCTGTCCAAATGGTATGTAGAATAGCTTCAGCATGATAGACAGCACTCCGAACTCTAGATGACCTTTGAGTATGGTGGTTAGAATATTCATCTTGGAAGTGGTAGATGTTGTTCTGAATAGTGTGAGGCAGAGGAGAGAACCAAACTTGGGTGAATACTCTAACCACTGAGCATCTGGAGAAAAGAGGGTTGCAGTTAGCACTATCCCTCTGTTTTGTGAGAAAGTCACCTAAGCACGTCCTTACCATTTGACTGGGCTTACAGCTGTAAATCCTAGTTGATAACAGGCACCTCCCTCCATTTGGGAGTAAGGCACCTCAGCCTCCAAGAAAAATAGATTTAATTTCACATCCCCTCCACATCATCCCTGTTAGCTAATTTTGGCAGCTTCCCAGTCAGTATGCAGTTTTGAAGAAAGATACTAAACAGCTAGAACAAGTTGCTGTATGCCTTCCGCATATGCTTATGAAGAGTGACATGCAGCCACTGGCATAATTGAATTTAGGGAGACAATTATGGTAGGGCTGAGGACAAGCCAACACGCAGAATTACATGTTCCTAGTGAGGAGGCTGCACCACTCAGCACTCAGTACCTACTCTGTTCTTCACGCCTCTCTTTGGAGGAGTTCTGGGATTCAGATAACTCCAAACTTTTAGTTCATTGCCCATCTCATCCCTGGTGATGAATTAAGTAACACTGTTGTACTCAGAGGTGGCACAGTGACCTCTTAGGCCTTATCTAGACTAAAATATGTTAGTGAACTTCTTGTAAATGACAGGTTTTAGGACCTTGTTGCACAGTAATTTTGGGTGGCTCCTGGATCTTTTAACACCTAGAGTGTCTTCACATTAACACCTGAAACTAATTTTAAGTGCTCTTTAGGCAGCTCAAAGTTATCCCACTCCAGGGCAGGTTATCTTTGACCCATATTACGAGGCTTGTGCAGCACACCTTAGTGTAAACACCCCTTTGCCCCCTGGGGCTCCCAACCCCTGCCTCCTCACCCTCCCCCCAAATACTTGTGGTATGCCCCACGCTGTATGCCCCAGAAGAACAGGCAGGGAAGGGTTAACCTGCCTGCCAGCTGCTGGTGCTGTGGCTGCTGCTCTGTGAGCAGGGCTCAGCTTGAAGAAGAGCGAAGAGAGCTGGCAGGGGCCAGGCAGGCAAGTTAACCTTTCTCTGCCTGCTCCTCCAGGACAGACAGCACACACAGCCATAGGTAAGCAAGGTTAGGAGGGTCTCCAGGGGCAGAGGGGGAGCCCAGAATGGGAGGGGGTGGTTCTTAGCTTTCAGTCCTCTAGGCCCCTGATGGCCTGAAAGTGTGGCTGTTCAAAACATGAGCTAGCACTCACACCCATCAACATTTTTGCTACTCATTGTAACATGCAACAAGGCCCTTAGATTTTAAAAGCCAAGTCTTGCTGCCTTTAATAACTAGTCAAGATAAAGTATAACTGTTAGCCTAGATTTTTAAGCTTGTCCCATTCAGCACATGAAAGTATGCGTTGTCTTCACTATAGTAGAATTTTAGAACATTTAAGCCTATGTCATACCTTTAAACTAGTTGAGTCTAGACAAGGCCTCATTTCTGCAGAAGGATGTCTGCAGATCCCTCTGTACCTGGGTTAGTGTCACTCAACACTGCACCTAGTACCATAGACTCATAGAAAGTTCGGGTTGGAAGGGACCTCAGGAGGTCATCTAGTCCAACCCCCTGCTCAAAGCAGGACCAGCCCCAACTAGATCATCCCAGCCAAAGCTTTGTCAAGCTGGGTTTTGAAAACCTCCAAGGATGGTGCTTCCACCACCTCTCTGGGTAACCTGTTCCAGTGTTTTACTACCCCCCTAATGAGAAAATTCTTCCTGCTATCTAACTTAAACTTCCCTTGCTACAACTTGAGACCATTGTTCCTTGTGTCATCTGCCACCACTGAGAACAGTCTAGCTCCATCCTCTTTCAAACCCCTCTTCAGGTAGTTAGTCTTCTCTAGACTAAATAAGTTCAGTTCCCTCAGCCTCTCCACATAAGTTATGTGGCCCAGCCCCCTCACCATTTTTGCTGCCCTCCACTGGGCTCTCTCCAGTTTGTCCACATCCTTTCTGTAGTGGGAGACCCAAAACTGAACACAGTACTCAAGATGTGGCTAAACAGAGCAACTGAATAGAGGAGAATAATCACTTCTCATGACCTGCTGGCAACACACCTACCAGTGCAGCTCAGTATGCCATTAGCCTTTGTGGCAACAAGGGCACACTGTTGGCTCATATTCAGCTTGTTGTCAACTGTAACCCCCCAGGTCCTTTTCTGCAAAGCTGCTGCCCAGCCAGTCAGCCCCCAGACTGTACTAATGCATGGAATTATTCTGTCCTAAGTGCAGGACTTGGCACTTGTCCTTATTGAAATCATGAAATTCCTTGTGGCCCAATCCTCTAATTTGTCTAGGTCACTCTGAAATCATAGCCCTACCCTCCAACATGCCTATTACTACCCCCAGCTTGGTGGCATCTGCACACTGGCTGAGGGTGTACTCTATGCCCTCTTTGAGACCATTAATGAAGACATTGAACAAAACTAGACCCAGGACTGACCCCTGGGCCACTTCACTTAATACCAGATGCCAGCTAGACATAAAGCCATTGATTACTGCTCTCTGAGCCCAGTGCTTCAGTCAGTTTTCTATCCACTTTATAGTCCATTCATCCAGCCCATACTTCCTTAGCTTGCCTGCAGGAATGTTGTGGGAGACTATCAAAAGTCTTGCTAAAATCAAGGTGCACCACATTCACTGGTCTTCCAATAGCCACAGAGCCAGGAATAGAAGGCAATCAGGTCAATCAAGTATGACATGTCCTGGGTGAATCCATACTGACTGTTCCTAATCACCTTTTGCTCCTCCAAGTACTTACAAATGGATTCCTTGAGGATCTGCTCCATGATTTTTCCAGGCACTAAAGTGAGGCTGGCTGCTCTGTAGTTCCCTGGATCCTCCTTTTTTCTCTTTCTTAAATATGGGCACTAGGGCTGTGCAAAACTTCAGTTGCTGATTCGATTTGGAGGAGATTCGGCCCAATTCGACAGCCAAATCTCTGAATCCATATTGAATCAGGAGACCAATAAAAAGGTCTGAATCAATTTGAAGCCTCCGAATCAATTTGAAAAGATTTGGAGGAGATTTGGTTGGTCCCTGCTTGCAACCACAGAGAGCTGGACCCAGGCTCCATGCCAGTAAGTAGGGGGTGTGGGGGCTGGAGAAGGGGGGAGAGGACCATGGAGGGACCCCTGCCAGGCCCCATCCCCTTCCTGCTCCCCCAGCCCCCCTGAACACCCCCTGATCCACACCCAGTCTCCAGCCCCATCAGTGGCTGCCCTGACCGTCCCCAGCATCCCGGCACTTTTTTTTTTAAAGCCCAGCACTTGCTGCTGCAGCAGCTGTTGGGGCCTCTGGGGGCTTGTGGCAGAGCCCCCCATGCAGCACAGGGCAGTGGGGGCAGCAGGGATTGCCCCCCACCCCCAACCTGGCAGGAGCTGGTGAGGGTGGACCTTTTTTGCCTTTTTTTTTTGAAATTGCCAGGATGCTGGGGCTGGGAAGGGCAGCCATTGACAGGGCTGGGAGGGCAGGTTGGGGATGG